AGTCTCGATATCTCGCTAGTCAACGACGGTCTGCTCGGGCCTCTGCTCGGGCTTCTTCTTGCGCCGCTTGTTGCGCTTTGCGTGGCGATGCTAGACTTGAGGTGGTGTTTGCGTTGCTTGTCCATGCCCTCGTTTGAAATGCCAATGTGTCTGTTCATGGCTTAGACGCGGTCGCGATGGCGACCCATTGGGCTGGTCGCCGGCGGCAGCGAGTCGGATGGATTGTGTGCTGGCTTCTGATGGTTCTGCACCTTGGGGTGGCACCAGACCCATGTCCAAGCATCGTGCGCGGCTATCCAGGCCAGCGGTGCAGCAATACAACAGCTGGGGCTCAATGCGCCCTCTCCTGCTCGCTGACTTCCCAGGTCGACCAGCATTGGGCCACCTGTGTCAACGGGAGTTGGTTTGTCGCAGGCAATTGCAAAGCCTACCTGGACGAGCATTGCACTCTAGATGAAAACAACCATTACTTGTGCTCTACTGCCAAAACGGCCCCAACGCCTCAGGGCGTGCCCCCGAACATTATCAAACTCACGCTGATCGAAAGCAGCTTCACCCGACTCTACTTGAGCGTCACCACCTTCCCAACCAACGTCATCAACCTCGAGCTCGTTTCCTACGACTCTGTGGACATGGATGCAGACTTTATGGAGCAACAGAAAATTTATCGTTTCCTGGTTCGCAAAACACCCTACACTGGAATACCGAGCTTCCGCTCCAGCGCGCTCCTCGAACTCGGCTTGGCGCCGCTCTCCAGCGACGAGAGCTATAGCATAAACTACTTTGCATCCAATTTGCCCAGCCTAACCTGGCTGCAACTGCGCTTCGAGACCATTGCCCCTGCGCCATTGGGTTGGGAGAGCACCGTGAGCAAACCGTTTCCCGCCATCCAAACGCTCTCGCTTTTTGTCAAAGATGCCGAACATGTCAAACTCCTCAATATCTCGCAATGGAGTCCCATGAGTCTGGACCTGGGCATGCCCTCGCTCTCGCGGCTCCAGTATGACATGTTGCCGCAGCGCCAGAGCCTGGTGGACGCCAAATTTGCCTCCTTGTACCTCGACTATGTTGATTACGACACCTTTCCTCTTGCCCTCAACTTTTCGGCCCTGCGCATTTTGGGTCGCACATTGGGCCCAGCCAACAAACACCTTTTCCGGCAGGCCATCAGCTTTGGTGCCGTCTATGGCACATCGTGCCTCTCAACCTATACCGACAATACCCGGTCCTTGGTGCCGCGCATGGAGTGCACGTGTACGGGCGAACCCCCTTTCCAAAACGCCACCCATTGTCCCCACGTCCCACCCTTTGCCTGCCTGCACTCCTCACATCAGATTTTAGCGACTCAGTTGTGTGATGGCGTCGCTGATTGCCCGGACGGAGAAGATGAGCAACACTGTTCGGCGGTAATGAGTGCGCGCTTTGCGTCCTACGGCTCCAGCCCTGGATCCATTTTTGATGTATGCACCAACATTAATATCGTCATCAGCCACGGCACGGTAAGCCTGGCTGAAATGCTGGCAACACACCTCTTGACGTACAACCTGCCAGCTAGCGGCAAATAATCCCACTCCCGACCTTCCTCCATGGGCACCAAATCTGAGCCTCCTCACAACCTCCCCGCCCTTTGCATGTTTGTAGCTTGCCAGCATACCTCGAAAGACTGGTGGATGCGGGGAGTATCATGGCGTTTATCGTGGCCGAAACAGCCTGGAGATCACCTTTGCAGCCACCACCATGCAGTAGGTCTTGAGTTTTGGCTTTGGGCTATCCACATGCGCTTGCTCCACATCTGCTCTGCTCCACACAGCTTCTCGTGTGCTTGCCTGCCAGCCAGGTGCATCTCCTCACTCACCGATATCTGCGTAGAATGCTGGCCAACGTCTCAGACGGTACCTTTCTGACCGGCGCTCGGTTTGGATTTGGCTTTGAGGACAACTTAAACGGGGAATACATTTCTCAAATTGGCCTGCTCTTCTTTCAAGAGGGTTCCATCTGGCCCATCACCAATCCCATCTATCGGAACAATATAACGTCAACCTCTGTCACCTTTGACGAGTTTCAAAAGCTATGGGATGCCGCCCACCAGGGAACGGGCGGAACCACGCTCACGCCTTTAACTGATCCGCGTGGCAAGGGCTCTCCAGTTGACGCTGCTTCGGGTTCAGATGCTTCCGTCACGGCGCTTGCCATTGGTATCACCTTGGCGTGCACCGGCGCCCTCTTACTTGGTCTGGCGGCTATCTGGCGCCTTCGCCGACGAAGAGCCCTGGTCAAGGCTAGCAATGACCTCAGTGATCAATGGCAATCCTTACTCGACCAAACGTCACTCAATAATGCTGGTCTCAGCACATCCAGTCACAGCTTGCTTTCGCTCATTCCCAGGTAAATTGCGTTGGCCGCTGCACTCCACGGTGCTCCCTCATCTCTTGACTTGATGGTTTGTCTTTTTTTTTTGTTTTTGTTTTTTGTTTGTTTGTTTTTTGTTTTCAGCACGGACTTGATGATCGAAGAGCAGCTGGGCCATGGTAATTTCGGCACCATTCACAGGGTTCGTAGTCGTTGAATTGTATTCACGGATTACATTGGTGGGGACAGCGAGCATGTTCTGACGACAAGCCTCTCTTCTTTCCTGCCAGGGCTACTGGATTGCGCAAGGCCAGCGGCAGGTAGTGGCCATCAAGCATGTACACACGCAGGTATGCGCAGGCTTGCAGAGATGCTAGATTGACAACCGTGCCTACCTGCCTGGCGGCTATCGGCGAGAACATTGCTCAATGACGCAACATGCTCTTTTTTCTTTTCTTAGGGTCTAGAGAATGGGAAGCGTGCCATCTTGCGCGAATGCCAGTTACTAAACGTGGTCGGGGACCATGAGCACATTGTTCGCATATTTGGCATCGTCATGAGCCCGTACGTCCTGCTCAGTCCACTTGCCAAATAAACCCAGCACGAGGACTTTTGATTTTGGATGATCTCAGTGCTGCCTTGGTGCAGGAAATGACCTTTCATCTCACCATTGGTCTCGGTCTCGGTCGCTGCCATTCTCTGACAGGCTTGAGCGTGACGAGCTGAGTTTTGTGATGGAATTTGCTCCTCACGGTGACATGAAGCGATATCTAAGTTTGCACGGATCTGATCTGGAGCTGGATCAGCTGCTGGATGCTGGCCGCCAAGTAGGTCTCCTAACGTGGACGCTGCGCTGGAAGTCCCAACAACAGCTTGAGACGGAAGCCTCATGCGCTGGGAATACTCTGCCCGTACGACTAAAAGCTAACATGCGCATTTGGGTCATAGGTTGCAGAGGCCCTTGCGTTTATATCATCGCAAGGTTTTGTGCACCGTGACGTGGCTGCCCGTGTATGTTCTCGGCACCATGTCTAGTGAGCCTGGTCGTTTTTGTCCAAGGGCCCTCAACCCCAATGTTTGCTGATGCACCCGTGTGCATTGCGCATTGGAATGCGGTGTCTGGTTCCATAGAATGTGCTCGTGTTCACAGAGCAGCCTTCACTCCAGGTCAAGATAACAGATTTCGGCTGTAAGTGACAACGCCAATCCTCACGCACCCGCAACGTTGGCTAGCATCGGTCTGCTTGCTCGTGCGCGCCTGGTGACTTGGTTTGTCGGGTTGAGACTTGAGGGCTCGATCTCAAGACTTGGCTGATGTTCGACATGGCGTGCCCGTAGTGGCCAGAGTTTTGTCACAGCACCAAGACTACTATCGCAGCATGAGCAACGAGGAGTTGGCCTTTCGATGGATGGCTCCGGAGGCGATTACGCACCGAAAGTTTACTCAGCAATCAGACGTCTGGTGAGTGTGTGTGTGTCTGTGCGTGTGCTGAGTTGCGTACACACACACACACACACACACACACACACACAATATGTCGAGCGTGACATGGCCACCTGGTTTTGGCGACTGACTCATGAATTTATGTGACGTGCCACCAACCAGGAGCTTTGGCATGATGCTATATGAGTTTGTTACTCGAGGCGATGTTCCTTTTGGCAAGATGGAGCATGGAGGCATCTTGCTCGCCATCCGCCGAGGTAAGAGGCGATAACTGCTCGCTTGACACGGGACTTTGAGACATACGCTACGTCTACCTCTCACCACCGGTGGCCCGCGTGGGCGCGACCCAATTAGGTCTGACACCCGAGCTGCCTCGCGACGTCCCGGCGGACATTGTCCGGTACAAAGACTCGTTTCGCGCGCCTCCTTTGCCCAACTTTGGGCGTGTTGCTTGTGTCAGGTCGTGCTCAAGTCAAAGGCTGGCTCTCGGCTGATCGAATTGTGCTACAACTTGCCCTAGGTTGTGTCAGGCCACCTGGACAAAGACGCCGGAGGAAAGGCCCACCTTTGATATACTGGCCGATATGCTGGCCCAACACGCAGCAACTGAGACTACGCTGTAATCCTTGCCCGTAGCGTCCGCGACGATTATAGGGCAGGGTAAGAACCTCCGCTCGTGCTGGCTTTTAGGATACCCAGCCAGATCCTTGTTCTCGGCGTTGGTTTATCACGCACGAACAAGACGACCGCTTTAGAATATTTGGAAATGTGAAAAGAATTCTCGTTTCTCCAAGATCAATTAAGAGTGTATGTAGCTCAAGAATAAACTTATCGATGCGATTATAACATGCATGCGAGGACATCTACAGCACAGAAGAAAGACAGAGAGACAGAGAGTTCCGGGTCGAACAGCTGGTAAAATCAAGGTGTAGCACAACGTTGTTAGTAAAGTTGCCAGGAACAACGTGATTCGTACGACTTGACTTGGGGTGCAGACAACATCAACAACCACAACAAGAAAGCTCGCCGGTCCTTGAGCAGCAGCGCCCCCTATTCCCCACACATTCTCCAGACAACACAACCACGACAAGGTAATACTTGGCCAAATGCACCAGTCAAGGAAACACCACGGCCAACAACTTGTTAAGACCATGACGTTTAGCCCGCTCCCGAGGAAAGGACCCGATCTTCCGGATACGGCGGCGCAGCCCTTGAATATCCTTGTGAATGAGCTCTTCTGCCAATCGGCCATTTTGGAGACCCTTAACCAAGTCGAAGATGTGCACAAAGATGCTTTTTGCCTTTAACAGTTTGCCACACCTCTCAGCCGAGTTGGGGATATCAGGCTCGTCCAAGTCCGGCAGCAGAAATCGCACCACCTTTTTCATAATTTCAATGGGATTATCAGGTTGCTCTTTAAAAAAGTCCATCACTTTCTGAACACGTTCACGATAAGAACCCTTATCGAGTGCCAGGTCCTGCATTCGATCGCTCGAAGCATCAACCTGGTCAGCTGCCGGAGCATTGTCGTGTTCAAGTGCCATCCTCAAAGTTTATAAATGCAACTCGTCGAGCCGCAGACAGTTTATAAATGCAACTCGTCGAGCCACAGACACAAAAATAGGCACCAAAATGACGTGGCGAATCGGCTTCGTGCGTCAACATTGCGGGTTAACCTGTGATACATGTGTAAAGCGTCTTGTGCTTAGAGGAATCAAAGTTATGAAATAGGATAAAAATTGAACTCACGAGATCAAGCAGAACTCACGAACTCATGAGAACAAGAAACAAGCACAACTCACGAGAGAACAAGCAAGCAGAATTTACGAGAGAACAAGCAGAACTCACGAGATCAAGCAGTCCTCACGAGAACAAGCAAGCAGAATTCACGAGAGAACAACTCACGAGAACAAGTCCTCACGAGAACAAGCACAACTCACGAGAGAACAAGCAAGCAGAAAACAAGCAGAACTCACGAGATCAAGCAGTCCTAACGAGAACAAGCAAGCAGAACTCACGAGAACAAGCACAATTCACGAGAGAACAAGCAAGCAGAACTCACGGGATCAAGCAATGCTCACAAGATCAAGGATGTGGAGATGGGAGAATTCGATTTTCCCGCCATTCTTCTGTGTGTTTCGATTTTCCCGCCCAGACCAGAACCTGCACCGTATCTTTTATCCGCAGGCGTTACGGCTTGTACGGTTTAAGTAGGACAATCGCCTGCGTTGGATCCACCATATTAGTGCTTGTCGCCATCACCAGTTGACAAGCACAGAAATGTTGCGACTCGGAAACAACGCGAATTTGAATTGGAAAGAACCTTGTGAGCCTCTACTAGGCGCACGACTGACAAAAGCACCGTGGCGCCCAGTCACTCACTACTTGGCCTCGGTGAGCCGCAAGACAATGGTTTGATGAGGCAGCACTGTGACCGGGTCAAAGGCATCGGTGATCGTGCCGTTGTCCGAGTGAGCCCAAAGGTCGCGCACTGCCACTTTGACGCCAGAGTCAAAGCCAATGTCTTTGAGCTGGAAGCCGATCGACTTGTCATTATCATCCGAGTTGTAAAGAGCAACGGCCACCGAATTGTCGCTGAGCTTGCGCGACCAGACGGTATCATCGCCGGCGTGCACCGTCTTTCCCTGGGGCGTCACGTCTTGATTAATGGCGATGACCTCGTCATTGAAAAGGATTTCACGTTGCAGATCGGTGAGGGCCGGTTTGCACACTTGAGGTTGGCAGGAGCAAACGTGAGTGCCGTCACCGTCGACGTTGCAAGTCACATTGTTATGGTAGCATGAAAAGCTGCCGCGGCAACCGTCACTCGTCCACATGCTACCGTTGGATAGGCAGCCAAAGCTCGCGTTGAGATGGCAAGCTGCGTTTGAAATCTGCTCCAGGAGTTGAATGCTGCATGTGGTGCCACTGGGGACGGGTTGAGCTGTACAGCTCTTGATGCGCGTGGTCACAACCAACGGCGAGGCACTGATGGCCCACATGGAAAATTCAGTCTTGTACTCAATGGCCGTCATGTTTCCCTGTGTGGTGGAGGCCAGCCCAGCATCGTGAGGGTCGGTGCGACGAGCACTGTGGTCGCAAGCCATGCCGACCACCATCCGATTGAAAGTACCTCCTTGTGGTTGGCGTGAGCAGATTGGTTATAATTGCCTATAGAGTGATAGCAGGGATGGTGACCAGCACGGCAGCGAGTCAATGAGAATGGCAGGAGATACTGGGCGACAGGCAGGATACACACCCGTCTCGAGCATGTCCATGTCATTCCAGGCGTATGGCCCGCCGGTGTAGCCAGCCTCGACGACCTCTTGGATGGAGCCAATAATCTCTTTGGTGCTTTCCCAAGTCCCGACGTGATCACCAGTAGCTCGCCAGGACTGGGCGATGGAGCCCGCCCATTTCCATGGATCTGGTGCGTGGGTAACATGCCAAGTCAAACACGCATACATCGTTGGTCATCACAAGTAGGGCTCAGGAATCGTTTGATAGAGCTGTGGGGGGAGGGTTGAAGAGAACAGGTGTGTTGGCAGGCATACCTTGCTTGCCCCATTCACAAAGGTTAAAATGCATGGGGCGACCAGAAAAGTTCATGGCGGCGCCCATCAGGGAATACGTGGTCTCTGGGTCCATGCCATCGGTGTTGCACCTTTTGCGTAGCACCATCGCACGCCAAGTGGGTTGAGAAGAAGTGAGGTCAAGGGGGACGTTGGACAAAAGGTAAAAAGCGAAAGATCAGGGAAAAAAACAAAAAAAATCACCGGGGCGACTCAAACGTACCAGTCCATCTTGACCCAGTCAATGCCGACAGAGGCAAAGTAGGCGGCATCCTGCATCCAGTGATCCTTGGAGCCCGGGCGATTGCCGACGCAGGTTTGGGTGCCAGCACAGGTGTAGACGCCAAAGGCCAAACCCTTGCTGTGGGCATAGTCGACCAGAGGTTGCAACCCGTTGGGAAAGTGATCCGTCTCCGGGTAAAGGTAGCCGGATGCGTTGCGACCACCGGCCTGAAAATGGCGGCCAACACAACGTACTGGTCAGACCAATGGGCGGAAGACACCAAGGCAGTGGCGGGGGCAGGGGCGATTGGCGATGGACAGGGCTTGCAAGGACAGGGCAGGGCGTACCCAGCAGTCGTCGAGATGAAAGTGGCGATAACCGTGATCGTAAAAACCGAGGCTCATAAAGTCATCAATCGCTTCCTAGAGATGGCGTCCAGCGAAGGCGTGCGAATGAAGGTGGTTGGCGGCTCCTGCACGTCAGATTAAGCAGCGCCTTGCCGGCCGAGCTTTAAAGAGAAGAGCTTTACGGACCTTGACGCTTTGCTCATCACAGTAATCAAACTCGGGCGGGCTACCCTCGGGGCCCAGCCCCACCCAGGAGCTCCAACCCAAAGGGGGCATTTTGGAAAAGGGAGCGCCATTATCATACGCCCTCGAGCTCATCACGAGCAGCAGCACCAGCCCAAAGGCCAAACCCAGATGGACCCGCATGACGCGAAGCGAGCAAGTCAACTGAAAGAACACCGAAGCGATCAGTGAGAGAAAGAGAGAGAGAGAGAGAGAGAGAGAGAGAGAGAGAGAGAGAGAGAGAGAGAGAGAGAGAGATCAGGGCTCAGGGCTCAGGGCTCAGGGCTCAGGGCTCAGGGCTCAGGGCTCAGAGTTCTGAGAGAGAAAGATCAAGAGAGTAAAGCGAGAGGAGAAACGAGAGAGGACGTGAGCAAGCAATCTTGTCAGTATCACTTTCGAGCGCAAGAGAGGAGGAGATCAGAGAGCAATAGAGAGAGAGATCAGAGCTCAAAGCCAGGAGATCAGAGCTCAAAGCCAGGAGATCAGAGCTCAAAGCAAGAGAGAGAGAGAGATCAGAGCTCAAAGCCAGGAGATCAGAGCTCAAAGCCAGGAGATCAGAGCTCAAAGCCAGGAGATCAGAGCTCAAAGCCAGGAGATCAGAGCTCAAAGCCAGGAGATCAGAGCTCAAAGCAAGAGAGAGACAGAGAGAGATCAGAGCTTAAAGCAAGAGAGAGACAGAGACAGAGAGAGATCAGAGCTCAAGAGATCAGAGATCAGACCTCTGAGAAAGAGAGAGCGAGAGAGAGTCAGCAGTCAAAAGGAAAACACAAGCCAACCAAAACAAAACAAAAAATGAAAAGACACGAACACAATGACCATACTCGTATTTCCAGCTGCGGACATGTCCGCAGTTATGGGCTGGTCAGTCAGGTACTGGATCGCGCCCCCTTGACTGGCGCCTTGGTATGTGCGCGGACTTGGTTATGAGGGTGGGCGCGAGCTGAGCGGGGTTTGCATTCAAGCACCGGTGTGACCACTAGCGAAGGACATGACTCGAGCCACATGAATGTCATTCACAACACAAAACACACACACACACACACACACACACACACACACACACACACACATCTACACACATGCAGACATCCTCGAGCTTGGTGTGTTGTTGTAGGGACAAGCCTCATCAAGGTTGGTGGCGGTCACCACCTTGACGTGTCACGTTTGGTTGCCCGCGAGCTACTTTTTCAACTTCTTCACAAAACTATCATCTATCTCAAGCCCACGGCCCGCTGCAAGACGCGAGCTGGTCTCTCCTTGCAGGCGCACGACGGGGCAAGACGTGCCCGACGTCGACTGAATAAGCAGTCGGCGCACCTCCGCACAGATTGAATTGCTTCACAGCACCATGAACTCGCAAATCGGTGCCGTGGCTCGGGCCATGTCCTCTGCCGCTCCCGCTTCTGAAAGCAAGCAGAGAAGAAACCCTCGCCCAGAGCACAAGCCCATCCGGCCGCCCGGTCGCAATCTGCCGCCTACCATTGGCGTCACGCTCACCCGCGACTCGGATCAGCCTTATGGTCTCATCTTGGCCACGTCTAGCTCCTCACATGGTCTCTTTGTCGCCGGCGTATGTCTCGCTCTCTGCTTTTGTCGCCAGACATCTAGCTCCGGCATATGGCCCCCAGCTCCACACATCCTGATGCCCCTCTGTGCGATCTTCCCACCACCCGGCTTGATAGGCCAAATCCCATAGCCCGGCTTCCCGAGCACCACGCCTGGAGCCTGGGCAAAGAATCATCACCGTCAACGGCGAAAAAGCCTTGCGCTGGAGCCGAGACGTGTTTCGTGCCAAGGTGAGGTTCTTGAGTCGGTGTGGCTGGACCAGCCACGTAGCTTGTGTAGCCCCGTACTCGAGCAGAAGCTGACGCGCCATCTCGCATTGGGTAGATTCAACACCAGAATGAGCTGCATTTGGAGCTGGTTTTAGACCTGGCGGCCTTTAGCGAGATTGACGGCGGCATTGTTCAGCGCCGCTCCTACTTGCGCCTTTTGCAAATTTGCGAACTGGCTCTGTTGCCCCCCGATGCGGACGACCGGATCAACGGCATCGTCAAGCATGCCATGCCGACCCATCTCTTGTCTTTTCCCGTCAACGAAGGTGTGTTGCCAGCTCTAGTTCAAAATGGCACCTCGCCCTCGCCGGCGCCGTGCTCATCGGCGTTCATCTGCCTCCTTCGAACGGTTCCAATAGGCATCTCAGCGGCAGAACTTGAGGCCATGGTGCAGGCTGGCATGCGTACACATCCCCGGCTGGGGCGACACGCGCTCCTGAATCTGGAAACTACGCAGCTGTCCGTGTATACAACGTGCACCCAGGAGGTAGGCCCGGCACTGTGCTTGGCTGGCGTGGTCTCATGCCTGCCAGTTGACTCGCCGTCATTTCTACAACAGCCTGATGTTGGCCAGCCTCACGAGCGGTATGGGTCTTTAGGTGCTCCGCGTGGAACTATTGGATGTGACCAACGTCTTTGTGACGGGCAAGTTTCTGGTCGTGATTGAACGTCGGCTGGCCCCGCCCAGCTCTGGGTTCTGGGCCATCACATCCCATCGATGCCATGTCATCAAGTGTAAGCATCCCTCGATAGCCAAGGGCTTTCTGGCCTACACCCGCGTTCAGATGAACGACGTCTTTGGGGCCATCCGTCAAAGTGCGGCCATTCCTGGGGATGGCAGCGAAGTGTAGCACACTTGCCTCTGCCCTTTTATCACACACTTGCAGTCTTGATATACCAGCCAGTTTTAAACGATCACACCATGTCAATTAATGCACACTACCCCGAGGCGTATCCCTCCGACGGCTGAAACGGGACAACACAAATTGTCTGACATTTGCACCAGCAAGCAAAACAGAAAGGGAGCGTGTGTGTGTGTGTGTGTGTGTGTGTGTGTGTGACTACTTTTTCGTGTGTGTGTGTGTGTGTGTGTGTGTGTGTGTGTGTGTGTGTGTGTGTGTGTGTGTGTGTGTGTGTGTGTGTGACTACTTTTTACTTTTTCGCGCGTGTGTGTGTGTGTGTATATGTGCTTGTGAGTGTGTGGGGGCGGGGAAGGCGGGGACAACCGTCGACGGACCACTGCTGGGTGGTGGAGAAGAAGAGTGTTGGTTGGTGGCTGGTGGGCGGGTGCACTTGATCTTGCTGGTTCTGGCTGGCTCAAGAGTCGCCCTGGCACCGGGGTGAGGCCTCGGATCGGATCGTGCTGGAAGATTGGCATATCGGGATCGCCACTCGCCTTTTATCATGGACGTGGTCGCGGCCTTGGCCGCTGGCGCGAGCATGGGTGCTATGGTTATGCTCATGGGTGGATGCCTATTTTGGCGGGTATGAAATCGGTGCATTTGTTGTGCGATCGCATCAATGCCTCGGTATCGAGCAGTTCCGCTGGCAATCTCACGTCATCCTGTATGTGGACCTCCGCCCCCTTGTCGTTTTCCCAGCGTTCAAATGCCCCACCAGAGGCGGCAACGGAAGATTTTGTACCAGGCCAGTATGAAGAAGTTGATATTGGGCGTCCGCTACCGTATGCTGAACGCTCCGGGCAGGGAACGATGGGTGGGATGCCTGGGCAGGGCTACGCGAGCGAAGACACCTATCAACAACCCAATGCTGTGGATATGTGCGAAGCTGAGACCTACGATGAACCGCGATCAACTCGAGGTGACGCGCGCACAAGCTGGCTGTTGCAAGCCGTCATCAGCGGTGCGAGCGACGATAGTGATGAGGAGAACAGTGGGGGTGACGCGGGTATAACACCCCTGCCCCAACCGATGGAGGCTTCCTCGACAAACGGTCGCCGGTCTTATCGCAATATCCACGACCAGGAGCTGCAGCTCAACATGGATGATATGCCCACCGATGAGCGCCAGGCCCTGCAAAATAAAATGGCGGGAGATCAATACGAAGAGGTTCTGCCCGAGCCGCCGTCGACATTCAAGGGCACGGTCCGGGTCAAAGCCGATGCCCCCCGACCCTCTGTGGCCCTCGCTGGAGCAGCTGCCCAGACACATGTGGCCACCGAATACGATGATGTGTTGCCTGCACTGGTCCTGCCCACGGCGACACACCACTCGGCCCAGTCTTCGCAACCTCGCACCGATCAATACGACGACGTGTTGCCAGCCCTAGCCCCACCCTCGCCGAGCCGGGCGGATGCCCGGCCTGTGATACTGGAGGCCACGCCCTCACGCGGCTACTCGCACCTCCACTTCAACGATCGACGGCCAACTGCTTTTCGTTCTGAGGATTTAGATGACATGCGCAAGCGTGCCCTCAACCCGGTGCGCAAAGTTTCACGCTACAATCACCTCGAACACCGCGCCATGTGGCTCCACGGCACCATTTCGCGACGGGAGGCCGAACAACGGCTTGTTGCAGCGGGCATTCAGGATGGCTTGTTCCTGCTGCGCGAATCACAAACGCAACAATCGGCCTGGGCGCTCAGCCTCGTCATTGGCAATCAGATTATTCATCATCTGCTCCGCAAGGGCTCGGATCACGAGCGTCCCGAGCCGGACACCCCCTTCACCATTGATGGGACCCCCTTGCCCTTGGGTGTCAACAACTTACCCGTCACGTCCCTAGAGGAAATCGTCCTACTCTTTCGCCAAGGCACCCACGGCCTGATCCGTGTTCCTCTTCAAACAGCGTGCCCGCCACCCACCCGCGATGCCGAATGCTGAGCATTCACAAGTAACATGAATCTGCACCGTTGCTCCTCCAAGCGCCGCCTCCTTTGGCCAATTCATCATCATAGACTTGTGCCGTATCGAATTCACACACACACACACACACCCTCTCTCTCTCAAAAAGTATGACAATTCGACCAGCTCTCCTTTTTTTTTGAATTGAGGGTCGGGGTAAAAGGCTGTCTTAAACAATAACAAACTTGTCGAATCCTTGGCAACGCATTTCTCTTCTCTCTCTCTCTCTCTCTCACATCATGGCCTCGAGTGGCAATCCGACCGGTGAGCCGATGTATTCGGCGGCGCAAATCCGCATCCCTCCCGATTTGCCCGAGGTGCTGAAGAGCTTTACCAAAGCCGCCATTAAGACGCAGCCCTCGAACTTGACCGTATGGGCTGCACAGTATTTCGAGGCGCTGGCCAACGGCGATGCGCCGCCTGTAAAGGATCGCGTCGCCATTGAGCCGACCGTCATCCGTGAGGCCCCCGCGCTCACTGTTGCTAAGCTGCGCAAGCTGTTCTCAACCTTACCTGCATCCGGAACAGTGCCGGTTGCGGACTTGGTGCGCCTGTGTGAGGAGCAAAACTTGCCCGGCCAAACGGTACAGGACAGCCTCTGCGTTGGTGACTTTGGTGAACAAGTCCCAATCATCCCATTCCTGGCCCTGCAGGCGGCGGTCCTGAAGCCAGCGCTGGCTGACGCCCTCTACACATTTGGTTCAATTCTGGGTGACGACGATTCGGGCACAGCTGTGCCTCGTGAACCCTTTCTCGAGGCCATTCGCTTCATGTGCAACATCAGCGGCGCGCCGGCCGATCAGGTATGATTCTGCTCATGGCCTGCTAGCTTGTGATTCCAGTCTACCATGCAACCACGTCATGCATCACATGTCTACGCTTGATCATTGGTATGGGTAGATGGCTTTGGTCGTGGACCAGTGTGCTGAAGGACAATCCGTCAATCTGCTCCAGCTGGACTTGTCATCCTTGGTCGACGATGATGAGAAGGCCAATGTTGGACTTCAGATCGAAGGTCGTCACATCGACAACGAGACAGCCCGAGGCCCTGACGACGAGGCCATGCTCGTGAACGAGAATGCAAGTGCAGCTGAAGATGACGACGAAACCGAGCCGGTGGTGGAAGAGCCTGCGGAAGCCGAGCCGGAAGCGGAAGCCGAGCCGGAAGCAGAGGCAGAAGCAGAAGCAGAAGCAGAGGCTGCAGCTGAGGGCGCCGATGAACAGACCACTGCCGATGATGTCGTGGAGAAGATTGCGGCCGTCAAGGCGGCGCACCCGGGTAACCGCATGGCCAAGCACTTTGATGCCGATTACTACAACACGCTGAGCGACGACGACAAGAAGGCCCTGATCAAGTGTTGCCAGAGCGGTATCGACAACGGTGACTCGGGCATGGGCTGCTACGCCATGCAGCCAGCCGATTACGACCGCTTCAAGCCCTTCTTCAGCAAGGTCCTGGCCGACTACCACAAGGTGAGCGAGGACGCCAAGCACACCAACAACTGGGACCTGTCGGGTGTCGAGGGTCTGCCTGCGGACGGCTGCCTGGACCTGGCTGCCCTGGGTTTGCCGGCGCTGTCGATGCGCGTGCGCGTGGGTCGCAACCTGGCCGACTTCCCGCTGCCGGGCGCCATGACCAAGGACGACCGTGTCAACCTGGAGAAGAAGATGTGTGAGGCCTTTGACAAGCTCAAGGCCATGCCCGAGTACGGCGGTGGCTACAACTCGCTGACGCCCGAGCACCCGGACCATATCAGCGAGGAGGCGTACCAGCAGCTGGTCAAGGACCACATCATGTTCAAGGACATGGCGGCGGATCCATACCTGGCGTCGGCTGGTATTGCGGCCGACTGGCCCTATGGCCGTGGCTGCTACGTGTCGGAGGATCGTGGCTTTATCATCTGGGTGGGTGAGGAAGACCACCTGCGCATCATGTGCATGCGCAAGGGTACGGTGCTGAACGAGGTGTTTGACCGCCTGAAGACGGCGCTGGACGTGGTCAACGACATTGAGGGCCTGTCCTTTGCCATGTCACCCGACTACGGTGTGGTGACGAGCTGCCCGACCAACCTGGGCACGGGCATGCGCGCGAGCGTGCACATTGGCCTGCCCAACCTGACGGCGGATGGCACGGATGCAAAGGCCAAGGAGGTGTGCCGCCCGCTGGGCCTGTCGGTGCGTGGCATCGGCGGCGAGCACACGCCAATTGGCGAGGGCGGGGTGTGCGACATTTCGCCTAGCGCACGCTTCTGCATAACGGAAGCTCAGATTATCACGGCCCTGTACACGGGCATCAAGCTTCTCAAGGAGGAGGAGGACAAGGCTGGAGAGGCGTCATCAGCATGAACCATGAGCGTGAATTTATGTCACCAGCCAACTGCATGTGGGGCCCGCTGTGCCCCGTGTTGTGTCTTGGATATGCAAAGCTGTCACCCTGGCCCGATGGCCGGAAATTGAAGTTTCTAATGGTATGAAAAGAGATTTGGTAAAATTACAGCATCAAAGGGTCTCAGAACGGCGGCACCGCACTCCATACAGCTTCCAAACACACAAGAAACACGACGCACGATTTACACAATCCCAAACATGGAGCTGTTGAAGTGGGCAGTTGACATGTGGAAACAAATCACAACCCCACCCGCACGCATCAACGCCACAGATTGAAAATGAACACAAAGTAGCTGCACACGCGACCAACAATTGTGGGGCACTCACACGGGGCAATGCCAGGTGCGCAGCTTGCAAGGGGGTAGCCGGGTAGATGGGAGACCAAAGGGCGGACAATGACCCAATTAGCGAAAGAGCCACCGTCTTGTTTGACAACACACCAATAAGCATACAAGCACAGCGCCACGACAAGTCAGTCTCTGACCCGATATGAAGTCTTCAAGTCCTCAAACAGCTATGCAAGAGTGTGCGCAGCACAGGTTGCATAGCTGTTGGGGACGAGCATTGGCTTGTATAAGGGCGGGTACATGACACAGATAAAACAAACACACAAGAACAGCATGGGGAGCTGGAAAATGCGACAATAAAAGGCAACGACGAAGAAGCGGGACTATGGCCCGGAGCAAAAAAAAAAAAAAAGAAAAACTGATCATCACAAGGACAACAAAAAACACAAACTACCGACGACACACCGCGGGAACAAAGGCACTGGAGAAGAACTTTAAAAAGACAGCACGAAAGATGAATGAAGTTGACAGAGAGTGCTCTGTCCAGGGCCTTCTGGCTTAGTTGAGCGTTGCATAGGCTTTGCGTTTGCGCCGCTGGTTCAGCTTCACGGCTCCGAACAAAACCACCATGATGAGGACAAGGCCACAGGCACACGCCGCAATGATCCAGCCAGACTTTGATGTTTGTGGTCTAATGCGTCAAAGAGAGGGGATAAAGGCATCATGAGGTAAGAGACGGTAATGAGAATACCATGCGGTTGTGGCTTGGCTTGAAAAGTGCATCTGGCCCTTTTTGCGCGAGAGGTTTACATGACAGTACGACGCACTGACCTCTCACAAGCCGGGATGTTGGAGTTTTGAAGCAAGCTGAGTTCGCCCGGAAGGGAGGCTAGGTGATTGGCTTGGCATTGGTTGACAGAAAGTTCTGAAAGAGCCTGGCCACAGCCGGTGCTGCAATCGGAGGAGTTGCAATAAGTCACCGTGTAGGTGGTGATATTGCTGTCCGGCTTTGGAGTATCCTGGGTAAAGTAGTAGGAAAACCCTGAGCTCGAGGGAAAGAGCTTGACGGCTTGACAACTCGAAGGGTCTTCGGCAAGAGTGATGGCAAACAGCAGAGAGGTGCAGTTGACATCGTGGTGGCACATGACCGCGTCCGACGTGAGTGTCTGCAAAGCCGTAATGCCCGAGGAGTTGGTGACCACGTAGGGGCCCACACAGCTCTCCTCCTTGTATGGAGCAAAGGCGACAGAGAATTGATGTTGGTGTTCTGTGCGCAAGCGTGCAGGGTGGGCCGGGTATGCGCGTGTGAGCCTTGAAGCCGTTCCTATGCTCGCTGTTTTTTGTTTTTTTTGTTTTTCGTTAGTTGTTCAAAATTGCATTGTATCCGCTATCGCGGCTACCGCCATTGAGGATGGCCGACTCACCGCCACTTGTGACAGGAACGGACATGCAATCATGCATGTCAAGCTGGGTGCGATCGTAGTCACAGCTGAAGCAAGCCAGGGCAGGGTGGGCGCATGGCACGGCGTGTCAGGAGAAATACAAGCTCAAGTGCCAAGTGTCAAGGGCAGCCGGGTATCGGCCACAAGAAAAAAAAAAGCGGGAAAAAAAAAACGAGAAACAGACTTGGTGCACTCTGGGTCGGCGCAACCCGCATTGAAGCGGCGGACAACTTTGCCATCGGGGGAGAGCTCAAGGCGATAGTAGGATTGGCCAAAAAGTGCAAATAGGTCGGATGAGGCACACGCTGCGCCCGTTTCCTGAACGACGACCGAAGTCATCATCATGCCGGTCTCACCGAGACCACATTGCCTGTGCAGATGAAAGATGCAAAATGCAGGTGTTTGTATTGTGAGAGTGAGGAGGCCAAGTTGCGCTGGCTGAAAAACATGCGCACCGAAGCCCTAGCATGTCAGGGCACGGGTGCCAACGGGGGGGAGGGGCAGGGACGCACATGTTGTTGGCGCCAATGGCGTTGAAGAGGCTGATCCAGACCTTGCGGGCACCGGCTTGTTTGACGGTATCAGAGTAGTTGGGCTTGAAGGAGCAGGTGCTTGATTGGGCAGCCGCAGCCGCAAGCAGAAGCGTCACCAGTTGTGCCATGGCCTGGACGCGAGTTGAGCGCCAGCTTGACGTGCCGTTGCGCAACATTCTGGAGTGTTGAAGAGGAAGAAGAACAGAAACTTTGCAGGCCACGGGTCACCGTGTTGTTGCCAAAACGAGCAGAATGAACCGAAGCAGTTCCTCTGCACCACCAATCGCCGTGCGTTTGGTTGAGCTGTGGACCAACTGCGCGTCAATCCAAGACTTGATCACAGAAGCGACGCGTTCTTGAACCTGCGTTGCGTGCGCTATCAGCAGAGGGTCTTGCCCACAATGATATGGAGCATGTGGTCTGGGACCTCGTCCAGCAAAGGTCGTGGTGTCACAACGCGCGAGACGTTGCACCGAATCAGACCCGGACGGGAAGGACTCGAGCGCCTTGACATGTGAATGCAGGCAGCCAACACGATCTTGCACGAGCCCGGATGAGCTTGAAAAAAAATGGTGGGGGGGGGGTGGGGGGGTGGGGCTTGTCGCCTCCGGTTAGCGACGAGCAATCACAGACACACAGACGCTGCTACGGCAGCTACGGCAGCAGCACCCGATACGTTATCCATAGACGGTCAAGTTGCCGATTTGACGGGCTGCCATTGACCAGATCCCGTCAAACAAAAGACGCTTTCCGACAATGACAATCATACAACAAAACAACAAAAGGGAAAAGAAAGAAAAAAAACACGAGAGAGAGAGAGAGAGAGAGACAGAGCGAGAGAGAGAGAGACAGAGAGAGAGACAAAAAAAGAGTCTGTGTGTGTGTGTGTGTGTGTGTGTTGTGTGTGTTTGAGAGAGAAGAAGTGTGATTTGGCGCGCTGTTGTCTCGCGCGCTGCGTGTGAATTGTCAACAAAACCCACAGTTTCGCGCCAAGCGGCCCACAGGAAGGTGGACGATGACATTTGGTAACAGGCCTTTTGTGTGATCTTTTGTGCGTTTGTGAATTGATTTAGGATGAAAAGATTGCTTGCAGGCATTTGTATTTCACCAGCCGAACAACAACTGTTGTCACTAACAGTTGGACTTTTCAGAGGTTCGTTCTCTGGCTCTCTGCGTCTCTGGCTCTGTCTCTGTCTTGCGAGGCCTCCCTGGCTCACTGCCATTGGCCTCAGTGAGGATCAAGAGCCCAGGGGCGGAGGTGTGTGTGTGTGTGTGTGTGTGTGTGTGTGTGTAGAAATGACGGCTGTGACTGCTTGTGGTCCTCATCGATTGCGGTCGGGGTTAACATGGCCGGCTCAAGTTGACCTCACGTTGTGTTGTTGCCCGCTTTTTCGAACTATGTATGCGATTCATCAGCTACTTTGCTAGGGTTTGCTGAGCCGAGGCGTTGTTTGAGGGTGGTAGATTGGCTCGTTGCCTTTTGAGAAAGACGCCTGGATACATAACAGACACCATGGCAAGTGCCCAAGAGCTGGTCCAGGACATCTTCCGCCGGGCGGATAAGAATGACAACGGCCGCCTATCCCTTGAGGAGCTGCGTGACTTTTTGGGTGAGGATGAACTGAACGAGGAAGAATTTTTGGCGCTCTTCAACTCGATCGATGCTGATCATTCGGGATCGATCGATACGACTGAACTGGCGACCTATTTCCAGCAGCACTGGGGTGATTTTGGGCACATGTTTCATGCCATCACTTCCATTCACGAGCCACTGGCGCAATGCCTGACGCACACTTACAACGTGCATCAGAATGGCTCGCCGTCTGATCGCGCCATGGCACGCATGTTTGCCCGTGAGATTGGCGGTCACCTAGAGCAAATTGTGGATCAGCTCGAGCTTGCTCATCGCGCCATGGCCCCGGAAGATGAGCCCCGCGGTCGGGCCGGCCGCGTTGTCCGTCAGATTGAGGTCTATGCCGACGAAGCGGCAAGCCAGCTTCATGATGTCGAGGCGCGTATTGCTGCCGCCGTGCGCGAGGCCGTTCACGAGGCCCAGGCAAATCAGAATCAGTGGGCCGTGCCGGCAAGTCTGGCCCTGCTAGGCCTCGGCCTGGCCGCCGTCGCCTTTCGCCTCGTCCACAAGCCTTGAGGATGCCTTGTACGACAGAGCCCTCTCAGCTACCCGATTATCCTATCAACCCCTACCCGGCACAGCACCAACGTCTTGTCGTGACATGTGAATACACCCGCATCAGTCCCTTTTCGTTTTTTTTTTTTTTTTAAAAAAAAGATGGTGTTGTTGCTGTGCTGTTGTGAAAGCGGGCACCACTGATGCTTCATCTAAACATGACGACTTGGGGTGCTGCGTTTGTTTGACTGACTGTGAGTTTGTTTAACCCCCTCTTCCAATCGACTACCATCCTCTTCTTATCCTCCTCCTCATCACCTCCTCATGCTCCTAATCCTCCTCCTCATCCTCCTCATCATCTCCTGCTCACCCTCATTTCTTCCGTCCCCATCCCCACGTTACATATGTACCATTATTACCACCGCATCTGAAAATCCTCTCTCATTCAATTCTCTCTCTCTCTCTCTCAAACTCTCAAACTCTCTCTCAAACTCTCTCTCTCTTTCTCCCTCAAACTCTCTCTCTCTCTCTCTCTCTCTCTAAACTCTCAAACTCTCTCTCTCTCTCTCTCTCTCTCCCTCAAACTCTCTCTCTCTCTCAAACTCTCAAACTCTCTCAAACTCTCAAACTCTGCATTTCCTTCATCTCTCTCTTCCCTCTCTCTCTTCTCTCTCTGTGTGTCAGTGAACGGGCTCCTGTTGGTGGTGGTCAGAGGCCCCCCCATCCCGCGGCCTTGGCTCTGTTGACTCACACGCTTCGGCGGTAGCCATTGGGACGCTGGTTGTTGTTGTTGTTGTTGTTGTGGCTCGTCTTTGCGCGGTGTGTGTGCTTGCTGTCTTGTTGACACCAGCCAGCATGGCAGATCAGCAAGCGAGCATTTCGGAGGTCTCCCAGTGGTTGGAACAGACCGGCCACGCGGACCAGCCGCTAGGTGTGATGAAGCTTCTGCACACCTCCCGGCAGCCTTGAATGGAACCTCATGTGCCATCCTCATCACTTTATGTGCCATCCTGTCGGCCCCACCTGCTAGGCCTCGACCATGACCTTGAATTTGACGATGATGCGGAGGTCAAGGAAGCCCCCTCAACTAGTCTTGCTTCCTCCGAAGCCGTTCCCCCCTCCCCCTCGGTGGCCCTCCAGTCCTCTCTTGCCTCCGAGGACCTCGCCATGATCCAGGACATGGCCCAAGCCATGGGCGACAATGAGGCCATGGACGCCCTCAAGAACCGCAAAGCTCCCGCTAGCACTGAACCAGCACCCCTGGCAGCCGTTCGCCCACCTTCAGATTCCGCCATGGCCCTTGGCGCGCAGGCCGGCGCCGCTGACGTGGTGGGTTTTTAATGTCGGCCATGAGTCTTTTCTCGCCTTACCTTGTCCCTTCCCCCTCCTCTCCACTCCAGCTTGATGAGCTTGATGAGCAGCTCATATGGACACGGCCAAATGTTTGTGCAACGCCTCCATATCCGCAAACAGGCCTCGCCGCCAGTACAGGCTGTTTTGGACGCCTCGGGTCCCCAAGATCAGTTTCCCGTGCGCTGGTTTAAGTTTCAAAACGAAACGACACCACTCCTCTGTAAGAAAGCACCTTGCTCCCTGCCAAAGCAAGGGCCTTATTGATCGTCAATCGTCAACGCCGCAGAAGCCGAGGTGAATCAATTGGCTCGCGCTCACCTCAAGGCTGGTGCACGCCCGCCTAGGCCAAAATGCTAATGGCCCATGTCCACTCCTCGCCGTCTGCAACGTTCTATTTTTACGCCACCGCCTAATCTTGGCCCCAAGCACGCCCTCCGTCTCCTTTGAGCACCTCGTACAACTTCTCTCCAGCTATCTCCTGGACGAAGACACCTCAAGCATGAGTGAGGAGGAGCGCGTCAATCGCGAAGCGGCCATGATGAGTCTCATGGATCGTTTCCCCAAACTTCTTCGAGGGTGCGTGCGCGTGTCCTTCACTCATCCTGCGTCTGCCCTACCGACCAACGCTTTGACCTGGCTGGGGCTCAGCTCACAAATTTTCAGCCCTGCCCATTCCTGTGGCCATCAACTCACTTCCACCTGTTCTGTTTTGAACCTTGTCAGCCTGGATGTCAACCCTCGGTTCAGCAAGCCCGATGCCTTTGAGTTTACGCCCGAGCTTGCAGTATTTGATCTCTTTCATGTTCCGTAGGTCTCCTTCATGATCTTCTCTTTTCTTACCACGGTTGCACCTCGTCTGGCTTCGCGAAGCGACGCCAAGCTCGCAGTGCGCACCCACGCTCAAGCTCCGATGATCGACTCCGTTTCTCGTAGTCTGTATCATGGGTGGTTGGTCGATCCTCAAGAGAAAGCTGTTCATGAAAAGCTCGCGCACCTCACCTACAACCAGGCCGTGAGCCTCTTGGCTGATAGCCAGAGCGATGAAGCCTCCCTTCTCGTGACCCAATGGCTCGATGACAACTCGTCCCAGGTACGCCAATGTGCTGAAATCTGTGTAGCAAGCCACCTTTGGAAGACAGGCCCCGCATTGCCTCACCAAGCCTGCCCACGACGGACCATGATAGCTTTCTTATCACGGCTTGGCCGAATTAAACCAGATCATGCCCGAGCAAGGCCTGGCCATATTCTTTCGCAACAATCACTTTAATGTTTTGCATAAAAATCACGGCGATCTTCTGCTCCTTGTCACTGATGCTGCTTTTGCCTCCACCTCAGCCATCTGGGTATGTCAGCTGCGCTACGCACGTGTGCTTGCCGCAAGCATTGGCCCGCGCTTGTGCCGCTGTCGTCTGTGAGACCCGAGTCTTTTCTTACCTTGCTCCCCTCTGGTCGCCAACCACCTTGCCCACACCGAACCATCCACGCACACAAGGAAACTCTCATCAACATTGAGAACGATGGCGCTTTTCTCAGTGACAGTTTCCAGATGGTGGAGCAACACGAGTCGGTCATGGCCGGCGATGCACCCAGTAGTGACGAAGCTCTAGCCCGTCAACTTCAGGACTTGGAATACCGTCAGCAAAACACAACAGCTGGTCCTGCCACACAAGCCGCCTCGCCCCATGTAGGCGGGCCTGTGTCCGATGCAGATTTAGCTCGCCAACTCCAAGCGCAGGAGAACGCGCACGCGCAGAGGATTGCAGCTCAGCAGCAACAGCAGCAACAGCAACAGCGCGCACAGTCAACCCAGCACCAACACGCGGATCCTCATACAAGGGGCAAGAATCATAGGGGCAAAAGTAATACGGGCTGCATCATTTCATAGATTTGGCGTTCAATGTAGCTTGAAGGATTCGTGGGCTACATGTCTATCTGACCTGGACTCAGAACTGGACACGGTGGATTGATTTGCATGTTCAGAATAGGATAACCAGTTAGGTTACGGCTCGGTTGACATGCCAGCTCAACCAGCTTTCTGTGAAATACCCTTGATACTGGACGATAAGAATCAATTTAATTTTATGATGATGCAATGGCAATGCGCAAGAGTGAATTGACAACGTGCAGGGGCGACATGGGCAAACAGATTAGAGGTCACTTATTCTAAGAAGAGTCGCCCCAAATAAGCACGCGTATCAATGAAGACGATGCATTGCGACTAGTCGTAATTGTTCACAAAGAAGCTGTGCGTGCGAATGCGGCCAATGTCGGGCCGTTGCTCTGGGTCCACCAACAGGCAGTGGGTGATAAGGTCCAAGACGTGGGCATCATCTATCAAGGTCTTGGGCCAGCTAGCCGTGATGACGTTGGCACGCCAGCGAGGATGCTCAGGCCGACCAAAAGGGAAGCTGCCAGTCCACAGGGTATATAGCAGGCAACCCAGCATCCAGATGTCCACCTTATGTGTATAGCTGTCGATGCCGCTCACCATCTCTGGCGCCCAAAAGGCCTACCGTACCATCAGCCCCATGTGATTGCGCAGGCAGGTGTGCAAGCCAAGTAGCAAGAATCCAAGAGGTCACGATGAGCATCCCGATGAGCGTCCCGATGAGCGTCACAAGTCCAGACGATGGCGCAGGCAGAACCGACATAGACCCACCGTTGTGCCAATACGCGTGGAGAAGCTGCCCAGATCGGGCGGCACAACGCGAGCGCAACCTACGCATAGCCCGTGACAGTCAAGGAAAAGCAGCGAGGCGGTGCAAGATCAGAACATCAGGGGTTCAGAGTGGCGTACCAAAGTCGGCAAGCACAGCCGTATCCATGTCGTTTGCTTGCTTGAGCAGGATCTAAGTGGAGGACATGGCGATCAGCAGCCGGCCCTGCCACAATGTATCGATGATCTGAATCAGATTGGTCTTGTGTGGGGGCGAGCGTACGTTTTCCAGCTTGAGATCGCGGTGGATAATGGCGTTTTCGTGCAAAATTTGCACCGCCAAAACGGTGCGCAGAAAAACGCGCTGCTTTTCGCTCTTTCTCAATGGCCCTCGCTCTGCGGGTGGCTGCACAACCAACTGGGCAAGCACAGCCGTGGTGTGGGTCAGGGCAAGAGCTCTTCAAGGTGTTTGTGTCAAAGATGCTCGCATTTGCGCTGGGCGATCCACACCATCGTCAGGCCTAAAATCCAGGGACAGGAGGCTGGTCAGACCAGCTTACCTCGAGCAGATCGGTTTCGTAGCGCAGCATGACAATGTACATGTCATCTTCATAGGGCGTATCTCGCCAGAAGATGTCATACATCTGAGGGGGGTGGGGCGCAAAATCCGTGCTCGCAAAAGATCAGTCTGAAGCGTGGGTACGGGTTTGTGCAACCAAGGGAAACCACACGCGACAAGACAACGGGTGTACTGATTGCACATAGTGACTGACCGAGCAAAAGAGGGGGCAGGACGCCACCCGGCGCAACATGTCTTGTTCGCGGCGTAGCTCAAGCCAGGGCGACTCGGGTCGACGAGGCAAATGTTCTCGTGCATGCTTCATGGGCACCAAGATCAAGGTTGACGCATGAGCGAATCAAGCTTGTAGAGGATCGGGCATGGCATGCCAGCTTTACGAGGGGCTGTTTGTCGCACCTGGAAAGAGACAACTTTTACGACGCAGGGCAAGTTGTCCGAGCGACGGACACAGCTACAAATGGGTCGGGGAGCCCAAGCGGTCAAAGTTCACAGTCAACTCAAAGTCTCAGTGCCAACAAAGCGTTGCGAGCGAGCAAATACTATGCGCAGGACCTGTAGACGCGTCCAAAGCCGCCATCATGCAACAGCTCTTGCTGCACGTATTTGGCCTTGAACTCCTCGACTGTATTGCATGGTACATTCAATGAGGCATGAGTCACCACGAACAGGCCCATCTCACTTTCCTTTTCGGAAGCTGATCGCTGCAAAGCCAAGCATAAGCAGGTGAATCCCGACGAAGACGTACGCGGCGTCGCCATCTTCTCCGATGCGGTCAGTGCGCGCTCACACACTCGTCCACGCACGGGCACACGAGCACGCGCGCGCTCTCTCTCTCTCAAAAAAAAAAAAATAAATAAATTTAAATTCAAACATCGAGTTTATGTCTCAAATATTCAAGTTGATGTTCATTCACAAGGGCGCTTTACGTTGTGTTCGTGTCGGTGTTTCGGTAGATGATGAAGGTGGTCGATTTGTGGACCACCGCTCGGACGCCGCGCGCGGGAGGCGGTCGGGGCATTGGGGCGGAGAGGATGGCTGCTGTGGGGCGAGGTGGGGTAGTTGGTTGGACAATACTGATGCTGTTGGCCCTTGCAGCTGGGGCACTGCCAGGTAAGGGGTGACTCGGGCTGCTTCTCGTTCTTGCCTGCTTGCTTGCTTGCTTGTGCCCAGCGCGTTTCGTGCCCCGACAATGTGCTCCGTCACGCTGACGCACAACCCGTCGTTTGATCTTGGGGCCGCGCATGATTGTAGATCAGCAAAGTTTAACATGGCTCAAGGACCTGCATAGATCGCAGCTGGTATCGCCGATGATGCGCCGCGACGAGTCGGTACGTGGAGTCAGAGCGTGGCTTGGCTCGCAGCTCATTTCAGCGCCGATCCTCACAACCGTGCGGCGAACTGGTCATTTTATTGGGGGGAATTAGCGTGCCTTTTTCAATAGTTCGCACGACTATTACACCATGGCCCTTCAAAGCAATGCTGATGCCAATGACTATTGGCAGCAGCGCGATGATTCGTGCGTCAGCTGGCTCGCAAATCCTTTGCTTAGCCGCGTTTGCGCGCGTGCTGCATCAATGGTCACAGACGCTTGAGCTGACCGGATCTGCCTATTCTAGGTGGCACGCCATTCGCCTCGAGCGCCTCATGTACCTTGATGTGGATCTTCCTTTTGCTTTTCCTTTTTATGGAGTCAAGACCCATAGCGTGGCCATCACGAGCCTTGGTGAGCCTTGTCACCTTATCGCCATCTCGCCTTCTCGCCTTCTCGCCTCTCGCCCTTCTCAGCACAGCTCGTGTGTCGTGTGCAATCATGCTTGAGATGTTTGCGAGCTCCAAGGGTCGTGCATTTGTCTTGCTGATCCCGTGTGCTCTGAACAGGCATGATCTCTATCGTGGATGGTGACTTGCCCCCCGTTGTCTCGGCCTATTTTGCTGGACCTCTGCATGCCGATTTCGCCCCCAGCAACACCACGACGGGCCCAAACGTGTATTATCGTTTGCACCGCGACTACTTGGCGGTTCAATGGGTGAATATGGAGGTCTGTGCTAAACTGATCGCGAAGCGCATGGGTGCCAACCAAGGCTAGTGTCGCTCGAGCTCAAGGCCAGGGGCCCATGGCACGCATGCTCTTAGGTTCGAAATGGCACCACTTTTCTCGCCGGCCAGGTCTTTGAATTTCAAGCCATTCTTGAGCGAACGGGCTACATGCAGTTTTACTACAAATCAGTGCGCGGCGCTCCTTCCCTTTGCTTCGCCTCTTCCTTGACTGTGAATGTCGCTTGTGTGCGTCCCTACGTTCTCACCCTCGGTCGCAACTGAGCGGGCTTTCAGATTCCCGTCAATGTCAATCAGCTGCAAACTTCGATGCATTCGAGCGGCAACGTACCCGTTGAGGTGGGGACAATACGTAACGCTCACATATGTCACCCACTGGGAAGGGGGGAAGCTCTGTCTTTTACTAACCCCACCTTGGTCTGCTCCTGCCTGTGCCGCTTGTTCACATCTCGGCCTTGGCCTGTTCCAGGCTGGCCTACAAGATTCGTACAAGCGTGTCTATAGCATCAACGGCGAACGAGTGGAAGTCCACTATGAATATCACTCGGTTGTCATTCCCAAAGCTCAGATCACTTCAGGCACTCTGGTGCTGCTCAACGCTTTACCTAGTGGGTGCCTGTCGTGTCCCCACTGTCATCATTGTACCCGGGCGAGGCGTGCACTCATCAGCCGTGTCGCCGCATTCAAAGCCTGCAACGAGTTGTCTAGTTGCCCCACTTGCCTTAATCACGCCACAGCCTTTAACTGCGTTTGGTGTCCAGGTTTGGAACGTTGCAGGTGCGTTTCAAAGCCCACATGTCGATCAGAGGCGATACCGGCGCACTCTGGCATCTTTCATCTGAAGGGCAGCTGAAAGCATCTCACCCTGATCCTGATCCTTCCAAAGTGACGGTGTGGACCGGTTTCGAAACGAATTCATAGGCCGTGGGTGCCCGGCAGAGGTGGGCTGTTTGAACTTCTTTTTTTTTTTTACCTTTTTTTTGGTGGGGGGAGCGGTTAATCATGCATGGCGAGCACATCACCATTTGCATCTACGGAGGCATTGATGGCGTTTAAGCTAGCCAAGATGACTCACGTGCTTGCAACTCAATGCCATCTGCCTTTTGACATCGAGGTTTGCAGGGCGTGAACTTGAACGGAAGCATCAACACTTGCCCTGCTCCACCTGAACGCCGTATGTTGGATGCTTGCCTCTGCTGCACTGGTATTCGGCGCTTCCCTTGCTCATGCCCGTCTTCATCTAGGCCTAGTGGAATATCAGTTCTCGTGGCCAGGCAGTGATTTTGGCCCCGATTGTGTGCTCTCCCTGGCGATTCGACTCGATGTCGATGTGGAGGAAATCCAAGGTACATCTTGGCAAAGGGCAAAGCTGACACCGAGCTGCTGATTGAGACACTCTTCCTGCAACCTTGGCCACTTTGCCAGCGGCACACTTGGCCCTCAAACCCTCGCTTGTGTTTCATCGACTGCAGATCTAACATTTGACGCTGCGGTGCACGAGGTAACCTTCAACATCAACGTCACCCGGCCTCAGGTGGACGCTTTCGAGGCAATCCTGCTCCTGAATTCCAACCTCACCTGCGACGATGCAGCCGGCGCCCGCATGTCCTATCGCATCAATTCGGTTGAAACCACAATATTGGGTCGGTTGTTTGACGTGCTGGACAAGCCGCTGTTGCCCTATGCGCCCCAATCGGCCTTTTTCATCTGGCTGATATGATCTGATGGCTTCTTGTCACACAGAATCAGCTACAACCAGTTCAAGCAGTCCCTGGTCGACGCTCAACGTTGTTCTGCTCAGTTGCGGCGTGGTCTTGGCCGTCATCATGCTGGCTCTTTTATTTGTCGTCATGCATGCTTACCGCAACCCAACATCACCGCTGGGTCAATTTGTCATCAGTCATCGCCGCTGCGCGGGTACGCTTTGGGCTTTGAGCCTCATTGGAATCAGTTTTTGTTGAAAGCTCATGCTCTCCTGTCTTATTTATCTGCGTCTCGCATGCAGCATGCTGTGGATCCAGGGAAAACGAAGAACCCGCCGCTCTTCGGCATGAGGATCGAGAGGCTTTGCAGCCTGAATTGGACGAAGTGGATGAGCAAGAAGTTTGAACCGCCTTTCAAAACAAATCTGGCCCTACAGTGTTATATGCTGCTGGACCAGTGTGATTTTGACATTGTACGCCATTGCCAAGCTCTGAGCCGTGCCGGCATGATATGCATGATCCTGGTCTTTCCATCAGTTTCCGTCATTGGCGATCATCCAAGGCCACCGTTTAATAGTGAATTTGATACAGGATGGTCCTGGACATGGGTTTGACTCGTTGCAGCATGCGTATGGACTGACAGACATCTGGATGTCGATGGCTCGGCCAATCAATCCCATTTAGCCTACACAAGCACCTAATCCTCTTCATCTTGTAGTGGGTCATGATCCGCGGTCCGAGCTCGGTTGGCCTGCAAAACATACAAAATGAGGTCGAGGCAGAGCAAGAGCTCCATCACACTATTTCACACACAAACACAAATGCACAAGCACAAGCATTTGCGCACGCACCCGCATCTGAGCCAGGGCTTCGTTGGCAGCAACCATGTCATCATCGTCGTCGCTATCCGACAAGACAATGTCACTGGATTTGAAGCGGCCGTTGCTTGACTCGGTAGCTGCAGCGGCCGCTTCCTCCTCATCACGCTCCATGGCAGCAGCCGAGCGTGCGGCCACCTTCGCACGACGGCGACGCGCACTTTGTTGTTTCTTCTTCTTGGGTTTGGGAGTTGCCTCGTCGCCCTCGTTGCCATCGCTGCGCGCCCCTTCTTCTCCCTCTTCTTCACTATCACTGACGCCCTGATCATCGATAAACTGCTCGTCCTGCTTTGTGCGCTTGGCACGCGGCATCTTCACGTGCTCCTCCGTAATGTTCTTCAGATCACGCTTCTCCTCCTCGAATTGTTGGATTTGAATGCGCAGACGCTAAAAAGGTTAGGGGTGCGCGGAACCACATCGTACAGGGTGTGAGGACGGCAGGCATGAGCAGGACTGACAAGATTGGGTACGGCCTGACCTCTTCAGCCTCTTCTTGCGCCTGGCGCTGCGCCTCTTCCTGTTGGCGTCGAAGCTCCTCGGCCTCGAGACGTTTCGCACGCTTCTCTTCCTGACGGAGGCGCTCCTCCTCTTCTGCACGAACGGTACGCTCGCGCAAGCCCACGAGCTGCTGCAAAATATCACGGCAGCCTTGCTTGCCCTATACGCAAACGTTGGAATGCCGCATCAAAAACTGGCCAAGACATGGCTACTGTCAGTCACGGCCAATGCTGCCGCATTGAACCAACCGTTTCTGCACGCCGGAAGTTGTAGCGCACGCGCTTTTCTGGTTTACCGAGGCGAATGAACTGCTCCTCAGCCATGCTGCAATGAAATGCCACAGGATCTGCATGAGAACCAGGAGCAGTCGTGCATCGCAATTGGAAGCAATACATCACATGTGCACGGCTTGGCGGTACGCACCGAAGCAACCGTTCACAGCGGTCCACCTGAGCCACGCGGAGGTTGTGAGTCGCATCAATGGTAATTTTGGAGACCTGCAGCTGACACATGGCCAAATTGAACCAGTGGCGATCCTCTGTGGGCTCCAGATGCACAAGCTTTTGGCTTGTTTTCATGGCATCGTGGTACAGGCCGGCCTTGTACTCTGCCCGCATGAGGTAAGAGAGGATGTCGGTGTCCCTGTTGTGGAAAAACCGCGACAGGACGGCCTTGTACAGCTGGATAGCCTCCATGAAGCTCTCCTGCTTGACGTAGAGATGGGCCAAATTGGTCCAGATTTGGGCCGCACGACGATCCGTGCCGACAGCCTCGCGAACCTGCAGCAAAATGTCCTTGGACGCCGAATATTCATCATCGAGAGCGAGGACGCAGGCAATGCCGTTGGCGGCATAGATGTTGTGGCTGTCAGCACGCAAAACTTTTTCGTAGCGTTGACGAGCCGCATGGCGGTCCATGCCTGGCTTTTTGTGACCATCATTTGCCAAGCAAATGTTGGCCAAGCACATTTCGCTGTAGCCATCCTGCAGCAGATGGACAAAGGATGGTGCGTTTGAGACAAGCGAAGTGACACGAATGCCCCAAGAAGCACCAGTACAATCCCAAGTCTGCCTTACAAGCTGATTTCCAGCGCGCTGGCGGAGGCGCTTCAAGATGTCTTGAGCGGGGCCATATTGTTTTTGCATCATGAGCAGGCTCGCCTTGAGTGACCAAGCCCGTGTGTCTTTCTGTGGAAAGGAGGTGGCTTGAGCAAATGCGGTGGTGGCCGGGTGCAAGAGAACACGTCGACAAAGCAAAGCGGGTATGCAACTGAAACAGGGCGCACCTCCTTAAAGTGCAGCACATCGTCGTAGTACTGCTTGGCATTGAGAAAATCGCCGCGTTCGCGGGCAATAGTGCCAAGCCGGAGGTAGCCTGTAAGGTGACGGTCAATCCCCCACAAGAAAAACAAAAAAAAAAAAAAGAACAAAAAAGGTTAGCAATGAATACACCCCCTCCCCGGTGAAATGAAATGTGCCTCCTGTGTTTTTTTTCCCTTTCTGCACAACAGCCGTTGGGTCGAGATAGCAGAGCAGGCCCAGTGCAGATCAAGCCACGCACAATCCACATAGGCTGGGTGCTCCTTGAGAAGCTGCTTGTAGATGATGATCGCCTCGTTGATGCGATTCGTGGCTTCCATGGTGCGCGCCAAATTATATTGAATGGTAACGCCAAGCGCTTGTCCATCCTGCAAAAGACGAGGCGTGGGGTCAGCAAGGCCCGTTGCAGTTGTGGAAGATGGTCAGGTCACTTCAGCCCAAAACACCTACCGTGGCCTCGTCAGCTTGTTGACGCATGTTTTCTGTCATGATGAAAGCATCTCGAAAGGCAGCCTGCATGGCGGTCGCGTGGACACAAAATGTGCAATTTTAGCAGGGTCAGCGCTGTCTACTGTGCCATTGTCGAACGGCAGGCCGGGCATTGAGTTGGGGGAAAAAAATATGCCCACACCTCTGCTTTGTCGTAGCGCTCGACGAGAAAGTAAACGGCGCCAAGGTTATTCTTGAGCTCTGGTGTGACCTGAGAAGCAGCCACGGCTTCAAGGTCCTTGATAGCCCGCTCATACAACTCGACGGCTTGGGCTGGTTCCTCAGCCTCGTGCAGCATGGCCAACTCGATCCAGGCCTCGATGTCAAAAGGTCGCAGCGTGGTGATTTGCTGGAAGAGACTCTTTGCCTTGTTTCGCTGTGTTCGCGAGTCCTGCTGGGCGTATAACGAGGCCAGAACTTTCATGCTCTCATAGTTGCCCGGCTATGTGGTCATGATTAGCATGAGCAAGTTGAGCAACGTAGAGACCAAGCAGACAATAAACAAACGATTTGAAAGACAAATGCTGCCGGTAGAGAAGAAGCCGAAATCGGGCGCGGGGCGGTGCGCGGTGGAAAAACTAGCTGGCTGCTCACCTGATGCTTGTAAACAATCTCCATGTGCTCGATGGCCTAAAGCATCGAGTCAACATGAGGCGAGCGAGGTGTGAAATGACAAGTCCACATACACGTCTCTGGTTACAGCCAGCTCGTGAAAGCACATCTGGGTCATTGGCCGACACTCATCACATTGGGCTAACCTTGTCGTATTTACGCTTTTCAATGTAGAGCTGAGCCACGCCGAAATGGGGAAGCACAAAGGCCGGATCTTCATGCACGGCCTTGTAGTAGTGCTTGAAGGCTTCATCATAGTTCTCCTAAGGTTTTGTGGCAGGTGTAGCCCCGGGCAGGCAGTGAGCTGTTTTGTCAAGAACCGTGGAGACCCAGAGACCCAACTTGGTCATGGCACGCACTTGGATGTGATAGACGCGGGCCATGTGAAACATGGTCTCAGCTCGTTGGGCCGCGGTTGGGCGACAGTTTTGCGCGTGGCGACTCAAGCTTAACACCTTGTCATACGCCTGCAACAAAGGGTGTCATGCATGAGCAAGCACCTTGACTTCGGGGTGGGGTGGGGCGAGCAAGCGGCCACCAGAGGCAATGCACCTACGCCCTTGATGAAGAAGAGATTAGCTAGATGGTTGAGAATATTGGGGTTGTTGTTGTCGAGACTGTAAGCCTCTTTCAACAGCTTCTTGCCTTCAGCAAGCGAAGAGTCCTATCCCAAGCACCGCCCAGCCAGCAGCGAGAAGCATGAGGGAGGTGCGGGGCGAAAGCTGGACCATCAAGAGCAACACAGGGAAAACTAAAGGTAACCAGGCCAAACTAATAAGAATGGGGGACAAACAAACCTCGGCCTTGTTCATTTCCAGAACGGCGGTGGCCACGAGAGCGGTGACATTGTGAGGCTCAAGTTCGAGCACACGAGCAAAGGCCGCCGTGGCTTGGTCGAGACGCCCAAGCTGGGCCAAACACAATGCAATGGCAACGCGAATGCCCACGGGGCAGTCGGGTCGGTCGCCAAGTACGGCACGGAAATGTTGCAAAGCATCCTCGTACTTGCCCTGCATGTAATCAACGCGGGCCACACCTGGTGCCACGACACGTGATGCGAGACAAAGGCACAATCCACGGTCAGCGACGTGGTGGGGCGGGGGCGTGATTCTGCAGGCTTGTCAAGCCTTCAAAGCACCCAGGGCGCGTAAGCAAAGAGGCATACCGATGCGGGCAATCGAGTCACGGGTGTCCTCGGTGAGAACAATGTCAAACAGGACGCGAGCGTCTTTCAGATCCTTATCGCGAGCTTTCTGCTCGGCACGGCCAGTGCGGTCTTCAGCATCCATGAGCTTCAAGTAGGCTTCATGCAAATTGTTGGCTTTGTTGGCCTTGACTTGCTTGCCCTTGGTGATCAGCTGACGGGCGCGATTCTTGAGACTATTGCGCTTGGCTGGGTCGGAGGTTTCCTTTGCTTGCTACAAGAAATCCCAGAACATCAAGAGCATCAGACATTGTGTCAGGCAGAGCACAGGGGCGCGAAGAATGGGCGCAAACCGACCTCCATGAGGAAAGCACTGAAAAGTGCCCAGAGCTTGCCAGAGTTGTCACGGTGCTGGCGCCGCTTCTCGCGGTCCTCTACCGAAGACGTATCACATGCACGGCCAATCAGGCGTGAGTTGAAAAGCTCAGCGCAAAGGAGGAGGGAAGAGTAGTATGGGACAGGTACCTGGGATTTTGATGTCACTGTCGATAGCAACTTGGCAGAGCTGTTCAAACTCATCCCACTTGCTTTGGCGCCGATAGTGGTCCTGCAAAATAGAGCGGGATTGTTGGTACCGTGCGTGAACGGGGAGGAACGCACATCAGCAGCGCCTGGGAGAAAATTCACTCATTCACTCTTAAAACTGCTCTGTCGAATGAAACGAATGAAATCTCATGACCCACAATAATCTCAAGCCAGATACCCAGCTCAGGCTTTTCCGTGGTGAGGAGCAGAATGACATCGCCGACATCTTGCAGTTGGTCCGGGTCCAAATCAATCGTCTACACCGAGGTGGCCGAGCATGAATGGCCATGAGTTGGCCCCATCGCGGCGCAGTGGCCCAGCAACGCCTTGAGCCGAATCCATGATAAAAGGCAGTACATACAGCGCCATCCTGGCAGGGGACCTCGATCACCCGACGATAGTCCTCCTCAGTATCCATCCTGACTGGTCAGTTTGAACCAGCGAGGCCCCGGCGTGGACAGTAGATCAACCGAGCGACCGAGCGGCGATGAAAAGGCAAACCTGCCACCCTTACCAACCACCAGCTACACCAGCAGCCAGCTTTGTTGCCGCTCTAAAAAGCGCAGGGCCCAAGAAGAAGCAGCAGAAGGGAAAAAGAGGAAGAGAGAGGTCACGACACCGACACCGAGCGCGGGGTCTCGCTCGCTCAAACTGTGAGAGAGAGCGAGAGAGCGAGAGAGCGAGGAACAACAACCCCCCCCCCCAGTGAAGATGTATACAACAGGTGTTGCTCACAAAAATTTTAATCTTAATTGACTACCTTGGAATTTAATAGCGAGAGAGAGAAGAGAGGAGAGAGAGAGAGAGTGTGTGTGTGTGTGTGTGTGTGTGTGTGT